CGAAAACTATTCCAGTACCTTTGAAGTCCTACAATTAACTAGAATCCTACAAAATCACAATAGCTATGTCATTATGACCATTAAAGTCTTTATAAGAGACATTACACGTTTTGGTCATAAGAGATCATTCGACAATAAAAATATATGACAATTTTTTTTTTTTATTGTTGACATGGCCGATAATGTTGACTCATTAAGGGGCAATATTTGATTGACTTCAAAAGTTATTTTTCTTTTGTAAGGCCATTTTTCTGATTACCTTATTAAATATATGTGTTATTTTTAGGTCAAATACTAGCATTTAACCAGTTACTCAATCAATCACAATACTATAGACTGTTACAAATAATTTTTTCATCATCAACAATCATCAACAAAAGCCATCTTTACACTGCAAAACTGGAAGAGGAGCTGCATCTGACAGGGCATTTATGTTGGGCAGTTGCGCTACGGGCGTCCCGTGTTCGAATTCAGTCAGTGAGCGCACACACTGAACAACTCGGTGTTCTCCGATGTGACGAATCAAAACGTTTCTGATTGGATGTTTCATTCATAAGCTCAACAGAAACGAGTGTGATTGGTTATATTGCTCAATGCTGCAAACCACGCGCAAAAAGAAATCTGAGGCAAAGTCCTGTAAATGTAATGCCGCACTTTTCAATCATTTCCTATTTCACATTGTGATAAGCATAATTCATCTTAATTGTGCAGGGGCGTTTAGTGCCCCCTTTTCTTCATTTTAGTGGCATTTTTGCCACAAGCCCCCATTCATTTCCGACCCTGATATATACACAAAATATATATGAAATAACTATTATTACACTTATATAACATGAATTATTACTCAATCTGTCAAGATCTTCCTGAGTGACTATTCTGAGGTGTGACATGAATGGCAGAAGACAGGGAAAAACGAAAGTACTGTACGTTTAAAACTTTTAAATTCTCCTCTGGCAAAAACATTTACTAATATATTAAAATGCAATTTTTATGAGTCTTGTAAAAATATTGTCACTTTTGAATGCCCCAAGATTACAGCATCTACTGGCAGGGGTTATCTGGACCAAACTAACCAGTAAAGTGAGTCTTGACCTTTTGGCATAAAGACCATTACTACCTATTACCATGTATTTGATTAGAGTTTTATATTAACTCTAGAGGATGGTAAATCTCCAGAAATAGGATTGAGCACCTATGCAGTAAAGGCAGACAGCTAGAAAATGCAGACCAAACGTTTTTAAGGTGACAGCTAATCTGATATATCCAGTATTTCACACTTGACAAAAAATAACAGCAAAGCAAAATATGGTATTGAACTGCAGTGTTTGGTATAATGATATATTGACTGTTGTCTGCAGTACAGATCCGCTTACTGGCAACTTTCTCATCCATATCCTCCATTCCGAAGCAGCAGACTGTCATTAAGTGACATACTATAATGAAAGACATAATGAAATTACACCATTAAATATGCACATCACTCATCTCAGAGACTTACGACACTGTGCATGACTGGACAAGAGCTCATTAAGTCACTGTAACTCTATCTGTACTGAAGTCATGTGCTGTGATTAAAGCTAAGCCTCAACCATCTTAGCGAGCTAGGGACGAGAGCCAAAATCACTCCTATGGTGATGGAGGTGTGAATTACAACAGGTGTACATTGATAATCTGGTAAATCATCACCATGGGGGGGGGGTCAAAACAAACACATGTACACACAGCCGTAACAGGCCTGTTTGAAAACTGACCTGTGTCATTAGATATTGCTTTTGACCTGTTTATGATTACACAGGAGAACACTGTTAAATGCGCCCCTTACACATACAGTATACACAAATACACACACTGGAACCAAATCCGCATAATTTGTTAGTCAATACTGTTAAAGCCGATGAGAAAAGACCAGTGCAGGATAATGACCTCCATGTCATGTCAATCCATCTCTCCTGCTGCCACAAACACTTTCACACAAAAGCAGACAACAGTTTGAACTCTGTAACCCGCTTTCATTTTTCAGTTTTATCTGACAATATACTGCTGTACCCAAGTGAAAAACTAAAAAAAGAAAATGAAAATACACTTTCAGTTTCATTCAGTTTAGCTGAGTTAAGAGCTATTTTTCTTTAGTCATTTTTCTAAGTCAGTTGTTTCTCAGTTTTATTGGTTGTTTTCTGCATATACCTATAACATCCGTTATCTTTCTATTATCTATTGTTGATATTTAATAATTAATGATCATTTGAAACCAAATAAAAGCAAATAAAATCCTACTGAATAAAGTGACATTAGATTGTCCTTGTGGCAACAAGTATTGTTGGAATCATATTGCATTAGGATCCTTCCAAATTGTTTTAACAAAATTCCTATATTGGATTAAGGAATGTTTTACTAGGATAAAGCTTCTATGAAAAATACATAATACAATTTAATAATTCATTAATACAAAATTTCTCTATTTTAACTTTTTTGTACATACACTTCTACATATCTACTATCTTTCTATTTTCTATTGATATTAAAATAATCAATGATAATTAATGAATTTGAAGCCAATCAAGTCAAATATGAATCCTGTTTAAATAAATAAATAAAGCTATTCTTTTTTTTGTTGGAATCACATTGGAAATTATCGCATTAGAATCTTTCAAAATTGTAGTCGAAATTTTGGGGGTTTTTTCCTTGTATAACTGGATTGGATATATTGGATTTCAGACATTTTATTATGCATTTTTCATAAAATATTATAATTATTTTTATAATTGTTATTTTTATTAATAATAATATGATTATTCTTATTCATATTTTATTACATTATTAATAAATTTCATTTTTACTAATGATAATAATTTGTACATTATTATTTCATTTTTTCTTTCCTTTTTTAATGCCATGTCAGCTTCTATGGCTATGTTCATAATTATTAATAATAATAATAAATTAACAGACCTTTACTGGAAAGTACACAACATACTAGCCCTCCAGATTCACTTTTGTCTTCACTTTATTGACTATTATCCTTGTTGTTTGAAAACAGACATTTATACAAGTCAAATTTCCCCACTTTTCAGGATGATAGATTAAGGCCCGTTGTTTGCTCATTCGGTACACACATACACCAGTGCAATGTCGAGCAGTACATCGTCAGCCAATTTGTATACACATGCAAGGTGTCTACAGTGTAAGTATCATTATTTATGAAACAACAGCTGACACGAAATCTCTGTGTAGCAGTTATATCACTGAAAGTCTAGAATGCCCCCGTGTCCCTATGTTCCGTTGCCATGCCAACAGAGGCTCCGTTACCACAACAACAGAATCTCTGAGTGATGCTTCACTCTGAAAGACATTCCACACTGTCCTCATCCCTCTGGTCCCCGTCAATCAACGTCAAGCTTGATTGACAGCTGCTTCGACCCCACTGACGTCGGTAAAAAACGCTGTCACCTCACGTTAATCAGAAGCGGCGCATCTTAAGAGGGCGATACGAGGGGGAAGCGTCATCAGACGTTTTCAGATCCGTTAACTACTTTCGTGTTTTCCCTAGAAAGACCCTAACGGTGATGAGGAGCGTCTCTGGAGCAGCTCGAGAAAAGAGAGCAGGAGAGTGAAAGGCAGCTCGACCTCTCCGTCTGTTTCTCACCCTATTTTCTTACCCCCTCTCTCTTTCTCAGTATTTATCGCTCCTGCTCTCGCTTTCATTAACCCACTTAGCTACAATGTCTGACCCAGACCACAGGCACATTACTCAAACTCAATAGAAGGCAGCACGACCAAGAGTAATTTGGGTGAACGCCTGCACAAAAATAAGACAATGGCGCACTGAGGATCACAAACACACACATTCATTAAGACAACAGAAAATTACAGCCCTGGAAGGAAAAACAGACATGTCATTAAGGCCTTCGAGTAAGTGACAGAAGATAAAATGGCGATGAGAGAGAGTGAACGTGTGTGCTTAAAAGTGCACATCAAAGATCGAGAATGGTTGGCAATGTTCAGAATTCTATTTATTCTACCATTACTAGTTTTAAAATTGTTACAGTATGTGTTCTATGCAAATTTCCTGTAAATGTTGAGTATAACCTGCAACCTTTGTCAAAATGGGCAGCCTACAATATAGTGTACATACTGTATCCAACAGTACATTCTCAATTGTCCTTCATTACAACTGTGATAACTTAAAATTATTTAACATCTCTTTCATGACTCATTATTTGATTGTACTGTCAATTTGTGGAACACTTTTGAACCAAATCAAAAAAAAAAAGCAGTTAACCAAGATGTTAACTGTATGCCAGTTGATAAGTTAAACTAAGTAATTTGGCCAGTTCCGTTTAGGACCATTAGCACCATACTGTGGGCAAAAAGCATTTTCTCTTTTGATGGCCATTCAATTGAGGTAAAAGCTGCATTTATTTATTTGATAAAAAATACAGTAAAAACACAAAAAAAAAAGAAAAAGAAAAAGAAATTGTACTGGTAATTTTCTGCCAGGACATTATGCATAAATTTAACAGACACTTCCAATCACCCTAAAACACAACGCAATGTGCGCAAAGTGCAAAATTTAAAAATACAGGTAAAACGCCTGTAAAAAACAATATGGAAAATTCCTTACTATTAATACAGTACATTGTGCCATATTTTTACAGAATGTATTTCTTACTCTGAAGTAATATTGTGAAATATTTTTACAATTTAAAATAATATTTAGCTATTTTAATATATTTAAAAATGTAATTTGTGGCTAAGCTGAATTTTCAGCTCCAATGATGATCCTTCAGACATCATTCTAATATGCTGATTTGCTGCACAAGAAACATTTCTTATCATTGACTGTGTTGAAAACAATTGTCCTGCTTAATATTTTTGTGGAAACCATGAACCCCCCCCCCAAAAAAATCTTACAGATCCCAAACTTTTGAATGATAGCGTACATTATTCATTAAGTACTATAAAACATCAGAGAGGAAAAGAAAACAGAGTTCTTCCCTTACCTTGAACATTGCCAGCCCAACTCCCATTCTCTCTCCTCAACTCTTGCATGTTGATATGAGCTGGGTCTTGTCTCTTCCTCTCATAGCCCTGGATGGAGGAGTGACTGACCTTTGAAGTAGTTTGAGAGATTGGTAAGAAAAAGTAGGACTGGAGTAGAGACCGTGGATGAAAGTGTTGGCCCCTACTGTAAATCCAGGCTGGATGACTGAGCACAGGTATTGTCTATTGAATCAAAACTATTAAGAAAATGCACTCAAGAAAAGTAAGAAAGATGCCTGGCTCACAAATGAAGACAAAATAAAAAACAAGTAAGACTTTGAATGCATGAGCAATGAAAACGATGTTCGGTCAATGAAGAAAAGTTAAGTCTTATATCAAATCTAAGAAATGTACTTAAAATCGAAAATGAACCAGGACAAAGCCTACATTGGCTACAAAATGTGATAGGAATAGAAAAAAGTTGAAAAGAAGAAGATTTTTCTTGATTAGTTTAAAAGTCCATTTTCATCTGTGAACAAGTCCACAAACTCTGGAGCTGCTTGATGCCCGGTAGTGAAAGGTCTGGTCTTAAATCGTCATTGGTTCAGGTATCCATGTACATCCTTTGCTGGGTCCTTCTTATGACACTACTAGAAAAGAAGAGAACAGTATCTTCAGCACATGTTTTCTGGCAAATAATGTTGAAAAAATGACTTTGGAAAACTATTTTTTCAGTAGATCTAATATGGAGTGCTCAGCGTAAGTGCTTAATTGATATGTAATAGATGAAGTTTAGTCTATTTAGAGCCATAGAAGGGACGGAAGCTGCCAACAACCCAAATCACAAGTTCAAAATGTGTCCAAGACAAATTAAGCAGTCACGTCAACCTCACCCATCTCAGTCAAAGCAGAAGCTCATCTGAAATGTGTCTGCAATGATGTCTCTGCCGAAATAAAGGACACTGATCCTTACACTGGACACTGGAGATGAATGGAGGATATTTCAGACCGGGCAGACCAGATGTGTGTAAGTGTGTTTTAATTGTGTGTGTAACAAAAAAAAGAATGACGGTAAACAAATGTCTTGCTGTTCATAAGTAAAATGGACAGGGTTGGAGAAGGGTAAAAATGGGCATGGAGAAATGATATGTAATTCTTGACACCTGGCTGTCCATTATTTTAATGCATGTGTGTGTGTGTGTGTGTATGTGTGTGTCGATGTGTGTTTTATGTGCATGTAAAAAAGGAACACACAAGTACACACACACAGACAAACATAACGGACAGACACTAAATGAGCCGTTAAACCTACCTAGAAGAATATCAAAGCATCCAGAGAAAAAAAGAGTGATACTGAGGGGAGATGGTGGAGGACTAAAATAACTGTTTTTAAAAAAGAGAGAAAAAAAACAAATTAAAAAACTGATAAGGAGATGTGGAAATGGTTTTTGAGTCTCTTTCACAATTCTAACCCAACTTTCATTCAGGGAGCATCACACTTTTGGGATGGAGAGAGAAATGGAAGGAAGAGGGGATGATCAGAGGAGAGAGATGGCAAGGAGGGACAGGTGAAGGAATGAAGGGGGTCATAAATAGTAAAAAATGAGTGGTAGAGTAAAAAACAAAAACAAACAAACTTGCCCCTTCTTTCTCTTCTCTCCTGTCTCGTCATAAATAGACAAAATTATACACCATATAGATGGAGAAATAGATCAGGAGGCAAATGATGGAGAGAGCGAATAAATGAAAAGATGATGTGCCTCCCAGCACCACGATGAGAAAGAAGAAGAAAAAAAAACGAAAGAAAAAAATAAATACTCCAGTGCCTTCCGTTTTTCTTCTTTTCTTTTAAACAGGGAAAGGCAGGCATTCAGTTTGTTCCTGTCATCCAGTTGTTGCTTTAGTTCTTCTCTTTCTTTCTCTCTCACTCTTTTTTCCTCTCTTTCTTTCTCTTGGCTTCTGTAGGAGTCCTCCGTTTGCAGTAATAAGTAATAGCCCTTTTCCACAGACAGTGACTGAGGCAGAACAGTAGGAAGAGGTGTAATGGTTGCAATGTCTGCCCAACAATTCCACACATCGAGACTGAGCTCTCGCTCTCTCTCTCTCTCTCTCTCTCTCTCTCTCCTCCCTTAAGGATGGAGCGCTGTGGAGTAGGAGTGAGGCAGAGAAAGGAGAATGAGAGGGAGCCCTCTACAGGATAACTGCACAACTGAGAGACAGAAAGAGAGTGAGAAAAAGAGGAAGAGCAGAACATGTCTTCTCAATCCCAGTTCAGTCAAACTAAATATGAATGAGGCAGCAAACAGGATGCAAAGTTGTAATTTGACAATATATAGCTGTACCTATACATGCATTTCTGTGCAGTTTAATATGTAGTTCTGTAGTAATGCTACTTTGTGGCAAATTATTGTAAATTATTACAATTTAAAATAACTGTTTTATTTTAAAAAATCTTATTATTCCTGCAACTGCAAAGATGAATTTTCAGCAGTCATTACTTCAGTCTTCAGTGTCACATGATCAGAAATCATTATAATATGCTGATTTGCTGTCAATAAATATTTCTTATTAGTATAATCAATCTTGAAAACAGTTGTCTAGCATTATGAAAACCGTGATACATTTTTCTCATAATTCTTTGATGTAAGCTAAATTAGTATATAAATTCTTCCACTAAATAATTATACTAAATATACTATATTTGGGGAGCTAAATTATGTGATTATTTATGTTTTGTTCAAAGTAGAAATGAAATCTCTTTGGTTTGTGACTATGTTGAATTTCCGTACAAAGCTAATTCCTCTTTATCATCATGTGGTATGTGGGCAATTCAATTAAAGGGGTAGTTCATTGCGATTTCACTTTTGTAATGTTAGTGCGTAATGTTGCTGTTTGAGCATAACCAATATCTGCAAAGTTACGAAGCTGAAAGTTCAGTGCAAACGGAGATATCGTCTTTTAAAATGCTGGCAGTTTAATGCCTACAAAAACGGCTGGTACGATCCTCTTCAATAATATCCTCTGCTTCTCAATCAGGCTCAAACTGATAAGCGATATTAACGATGCCTTCGCTTACAACACAACCGGAGCACATGCTGCTGAGGAGAGGTGCGGGCTGTTTAGACGCGCACTAGTGGCAGTTTAGCCAATCACAACACACTGGGCTAGCTAACCAATCAGAGCCCATCGCCTATTTCTGAGGGAGGGGCTTCATAAAAGCAGGAAATTTATCAGCGCGTTTCTCAGAGAAGGGACAGAGCGGTGTGGAATAAAGGTCAATTATGGGAAAAATAATGCGTTTTTTAAAAAACGAAGCATTAACATGTTAGACTGCACCCCATAAACACAATCAAGCCTAGAAAAAAGCCACTGAACCACTCCTTTAAAATTCCAACTCATTAATTGAAATGCAGCCAATTCTTAATTCTGAATATTGCCACGTCCTGCTCAGATTCTGATTCTGTACCAGTGCACTGGCACTCCATCTGTCATGAGTCTGAGTTTTCTGTGTAGATGTGAATGTCTGGTTCTCAGATGTCTGCTCTCTCAAGGGCTCACTCTCTTGTTCTCTGGATTCTTGGCTTGAGCTACTGATCACTTGCGCTTTTGATCCTCCGTTTCTTGGCACCTGTCTTCCACTCCTTTTTTAAAGCTTACACAGTCTGTCTGCCTGTTGCTGTCTGCTGATCATTTGGAAATAGACAAAAATAAAAGGAGAGTTACAGAAGGACCATGGAAATGGTGCAATTTGTGCATAAAGATTTTAGGATTGTTTATAATTTCAATTGAAAAGGTTAGGAAATACAGTCTACCAACTCAGGCCTGAAGTGCCACTGTCATAACTGAGATAAACAGATACTGGAGGACTATCTTAGAGGGTTGCACATCAATGACAGATTCCTAAATTATCCTAAATACAAACCACCAATCCTAAATACTAACCCTAAAGCACTATAAAAGCTACATTAACCCTGTTTGGAATTCATGTAGCCTACGTACAATTTGAATATAACTGAATCAATACTGTCAGCATCATTGGCGTCATTTACATTGGGGACGGCAAGGACATGTCCCCACCATTTTTGTCATGGGTAATTTCATCCACACTGTTTGCAGCAGCAATAACAGTGATAAACTAGATTGAAAGTTTGTAGACAAACTTTAAGTTGGCTTGAAAAAGCCTAGCTAGAAAGTTTTAAAACGTTTTAAAAGCTTTTTAAAAGTAGTTTGAAAGTGTTAAAATTGTTTTATAGATTCAAGTTTGAATGTTTTCAAGGCAATACAGTCTATCAGAAAAACAGATATGAATAAAACATATTGCTAGGGTACCTAGGGTGGTTGCTAGGCTGTTTCTAGCATGACTAACATGTTGCTAACATGTTTTTAGCATGATCAGCATGTTACTAGCATGTTGCTAGCATAATTAGCAAGTTACTAACATGTTATTAGCATGATTAGCATGTTACTAGCATGGTGTTCGCATTTTGTTAACATTATTAACAAGTTACTAGCATGTTTCTAGCACGATTAGCATGTTACTAGCATGTTGTTAACATAATTAGTAGTGACTAACATTTTGCTAGCATGATTCTAGCATGATTAGCATGTTACTAGCATGATGTTTAAATTTTAACATGATTAGCAAGTTACTAACATGTTGTTAGAATGATTAGCATGTTACTAGCATGGTGTTAACATTTTGTTAGCATGATTAGCAAGTTACTAGCATGTTGTTAACATGATTAGCAAGTCACTTGCATGCTGCTAGCATGACTCTAGCATGATTAGCATGTTACTAGCACGATGCTAGCATATTTCTAGCATGTTTATCTAGTTGTTAGCATGTTTATAGCATGATTAGCAAGTTACTAGCATGTTGTTAACATGATTAGCAAGTCACTTGCATGCTGCTAGCATGACTCTAGCATGATTAGCATGTTACTAGCACGATGCTAGCATATTTCTAGCATGTTTATCTAGTTGTTAGCATGTTTATAGCATGATTAGCAAGTTACTAGCATGTTGTTAACATGATTAACAAGTTAATAGCATTTTGCTAGCATGATTAGCATGTTACTAACGTGATTCTAGCATGATTAACGTTACTAGAATGATGCTAGCATGTTTCTAACGTTTAACAAGTTGCTCGCATTTTGTTCGCATGTTTAACAAGTTACTAGCTTGTTTCTAGCATGATTAGCATGTTACTAGCATGATGCTAGCATGTTTATAAAATGTTTAGCAAGTTGTTAACAAGGTGTTGTCATTTTGTTAGCATGTTTCTAACATGATTAGCATGTTACTAGCATGATTAGCATGTTACTAGCATGATGCTAGCATGTTTCTAACATGTTTAGCAAATGCTAGCATTTTGTTAGCATGTTTAGCAAATTGCTAGCATGTTTCTATCATGCCTAGCATGTTACTAACATGGTGTTAGCATGATTAGCAAGTTTCTAGCATGTTGCTAGCATGATTCTTTTTCAAGCCAACTTAATTCAACTCAAAGCAGTTTCACTATTTATCCCTATTTCAACATAAATAAACACACAGACTTAATGTATGAACCAAATTAATTCACTGCATCTCCTGAACTAATGAAAAAGTGTAAATTACATTGCGAATTAACATAAAGATGAATAAATCCTGGGGTTGTATTATATTCACACTGATACCAAAATACATTCCTGTATCTTTAAATTACAAAATGTATTTACACAAACAGACAAAAAAGATAACACAAATAAGACAAAATATATGGAAGCCTATATAGGAATGTGTTCCTTCTGCCCCTTAGTTCAGAGAATGCATAGCCTATACACTCTAGGACTGTCTAGCAAACTAAAACAGAGGTATGGAAGTCATAGTTTTGACCCTCTGCCACTGTGCTGTTTCGATTAGGGAGACTGTTAGATCAGCTAAGTTAGCAGCTGTATTCTGTGTGAGTTTGACAGCAATTTTGGCACATATGGTCGTCATGTTGCCAAACAGATGGAGAAGAGAGAGAGATGAGCATTAATTGAATGTGTTATTTGACGGAGAGTAATGGGAAATAGATGGCTGTTGCTTACCAATGGGACTTGTGCAGTTCCCATGAGCAGAAGGGTAATGTGAGAGAACAAGATCACCAGCCATATAGCAGATTGTGAATAATGTGCTGTGTTAGTCACTTTTATAACTCCTCTGCCGTGACCAGTTTGAATGTTAGATGCACAACACAAGATGGGGAGATTTGCTATAGGCAACAGTATCAGCGAAATCAGCTTTAACATTAACTGTTATGTTACAGCTATTTTGACATGAACTTTTATGGTGATAAATCATGTACGTAATAGTCTCAGACTTTTATACTCCACTGAATATCTGTTGGTTGAAATTATTTAATAATTTCACATCAAGGTTATCACAGAAACTACTGTCAAAGTGACTAAATGCTTGCAATTACCGGACTAATGCGCATAAACAGGACTAATTTGATTAGCTGTTATCGAATATGTTTAGTTAAACTATAGCTCTTGCTTGAGGTAGCTGGTAGGTGACATATGTCCAGAAAAAATCGAATAAATAATATAAACTTACTCGGTCCGTGTATGATAGTGGTCCAAAAAGGATTTTCAATTTACCGCCAAAACGCTCTGAACGTTAATTCCGTCGTCTGTGGCAGCGATTGGATGAAATCATTCGGAGGGCGTTCCTTCTCATGAATAATGTGCTCAGAATCTAATAAAGTATTTCTGTTCTTCCTACCAATCATACTTCTCTCTGCGTCCCAATGTGCACACTATCCCCCAGGACGATCCCGTTTTGGCTCTGGACGCGGGCCAGTTTGAGCTGGGGCTGCTGTGGAGGGGACGTGTGGGCGGCCTCGGGGGGGAGTCGTGCCGGTGGCGATGGTGCCAGTGGTAATGGAGGAAGAGTGGTGGAGGAAGAGGAGCTTGGACGGGATAGAGATGGAGAATCCTGAGAGAACAATGAGTGAAGGTAAGAAAGATTATAGGAGGCACTATGTGTTAAAAATATAAATAAAATGTTAAGTGTATCTTCTTTATAATATTTTTATGGCAGCACACTCACCACAGAGGAACGTTGTGCCGATCGAGCTCCTGAACAAGGGAAAATATAAAACACACGATGTCAGCATACAGCTCTGAATTTTAGAACTACAGGCAAAAAGCAGAATAAAAGGAGAGCGGGGGGATGGGGGGGGGGGGGGGGGCCCTTT